GTTGGTACAAATATTTTTTTAAATCCATACATAATTTTCTCTTAAGACATATTTTCCATGAACTTTTTGAAGGCCCTTTGTAAGCTATTTTTATAGATCTTCTGTTCTTATAAAGTATAGTACCTTGGGGCCAGCAACTGACATAGTGGTTCCAACACAGTCAGATGCAGTTCAAGTCCTTGACCTGGCAGCTTGAAACATTCCTGGTATATGTGTGTGTGTGCCCAAAATACCAAGAGGAGGATGGAAAAGAAGTGACTGTAGCATGTCTATCCCCTCTGGGGATTGAGTTCTCACTTTCTCTCCTTCTCTCTCTGTCTCTCCAGTGACTGCACCTGCATTATAGCCAAAATCTTCCTTTAAAAAATTGTACATTATCTTACATATATTTTAAATGTTTACATTTTCCACTTACTGCTGATAAATATATATAAACACACACACACACATTATATATAATATAAAACATTAAGTTTATTTTGCAGTTTTAGCTTTAATAAATCAAAGTAAAAAATGTTAAGAGAACTTGGCTTAAGACTTAAAGCCAGGAAATAGGTTAGGATTCTGTTCAAATAGTAGGTACATGACTCTATCAACAAGTCAAGAGAAGACAAAATTCCTTATCTCTGGAGTTCAAAGTACAGAAAAAGATCAGTATTGTTTTAGTCAAAAGTCATAAAATTCTATTTCACCAATTCAGTCTCATGTACTTAATCTAACTTCTGTTATGGCCTGAGCTTTCCATTTAAATTCTGGAAGATATCATTCAGCTCCAGACTTATTCTTATAATTAGGTTGGCCCTTTTCTTAGATATGTTTTACTTTTTATTTCTGTGTGTCTGACTTTAATTCTCCTGATATAGCACTCCCTTCAGAATTTCTTGGAGATCTGATCTGGTGTCAGTAAATTCTTTCAGGTTTTGTTTATCTGAGAATGTTTTTGTCTTCTCTTCCCATATGAAGGATAATCTTGCCAGGTATATTATTCTTGATTGAAATTGTTTTTCACTCAACAATTTGAATATATTTTCCCATTCTTTCTTTGCTTGCATTGTTTCCAATTAAAGGTCTGCTGTTAGCCTGATGGGATATCCTTTGTAGGTAACTTAACGTTTCTCTCTTGCCAGTCTGAGTATCTAGCCTTTGTCTGTGGTTTTGGTCAAACTGGCTATTATGTATCTTGGAGAATATCTTCCTGGGTTGATTCTATTTGGGGTCTTTTGTATTTCTTGGGTTTGGATCTTTGGATGTTTCTCTAGGTTTGGAAAATTTTCTGCCACAATTTCATGGGATATATCATCAATGCCCTTATTAGTCTCTTCACCTTCTGGGACACCAGTGATCTAGATGTTTGGCTGTTTAATGGTACCTAGTATTTCTCATATAGTCTCATTTTTTAGACTATTTTCTCAGTCTTCATGGTGAATTTTTCTAGGCCAGCAATTCTGCCTTCTATATCTCACATTCAATCTTCTGTGTGTCTAATCTGCTTTTAATACTTATGAGGAAGGTTTTGATTTCCTGTATTACAGCCTTCATCTCTATTAGTTACATCTGGTTCTTTTTTATGATGTGTATTTGCTTTGTCAGATCGTGCAAGAACTTCCTCACCTCCTGGAACTCCTTGGCTCTATTTTCCTGCCTCTTCTGGAGTTGATTCTCTCTTTTCTCCGGCATCTCTGTTAGCTTTGTCACTAAGAATATTCTAAGCTCTTTATCATACATTTCTGTGAGTTCCATTGTACTTTCTGTGGATAAAGAGAAGTTATTCTTTTCCTTTGGAGGGGAGATATCATCTTGTTTTTTCATATTTCTTATGCCTTTGCAGTGATTTCTAGTCATCTGATGGGCTATATGTTTGTTCCTAATTTCTAGATGTTCAATCTGAGCAGTCAAGGGTGTACAGGAGAGGGTGATCTGCAATCTCTTTGCCGTTCCATTTTTATTCCTTTGTACAGCAGATTCAGTGGGTATTGAGGAATATATTGACCCTAATTGTATTTGGATGTTTGGCTACAGTTCCCATAGGTCTGTCTAGACACTCAGTCTGTGGTGACTGAATAGCAAACCAATGAGGTAAAAGGAAAATGAAAAGGAAATAGAGAAAGGGGAAAAGTGACAAAGAGAGAGAAAGAGGAAGAAAAAGAAAAACCAACCAAAAAATTATTATTATTATTATTATTATTATTATTATTATTTGGAGAGACTTTTGCTATAGGATTATTATTATTATTATTATTATTATTATTAGGAGAGACTTTTGCTATAGGGCGCATGCGCTCACCAGACAGAGAGAGACATTAGAGACAGAAAGCGAGAAATCACCCCCCGGGGGGATGGTCACGCCGCAATCCCTTCTCCTCCATTCTCCTCTTGGGATCTTGGGCATGCACACACACGCTCCTGCGTGAGTTTTAAGCCACCAGGTCCAGGACGTGAACCGCGGTCAACTACGTGGGAGTCCAGCGACATAGCCATTATGCTAACTGCTGGTTCCCTAAAATATTAATTTTTTAAAAAAGCAAAAAATGAAATTCATGTGGTGCAAAAGCATGCCACCCAAAAGCTCTAGTTCTCACTTGCAATGGTTGAATCTTCTTCTGAAGGCCTTCTAAATGGGGAGCAGGGAGGGAAAGGAATATTAGCAAGATAAAGGAGAATCTGAAAGCCAAGAGAATACTTTAGCTTAAAATATATTAAAAAATAAAAATTACAAAAAAATAAGACAGAGAGAGAGAGAGAGAGAGAAAGAGAGAAGGACACAGGGGGTGCCCTACTACTCCAGACTGGGAGCTGGAGGATGAATTTTCAGTAGATGATCTTCATATCTCTTATACCCTGAAAGCACTAGTTCCCAGCTGTAATGGAGAAGTCTTCTTCTCAAAACATTATGATTTTTTTATACTACCGTGTACCCAGAGATACTGGCAAAAATACCTTTCCATGTTTGTTTATAATACATTTGTGATGGCTGACACAGTTTACTGTCTTCCCAATCTCAGGAAAAAAATATATATATATTAGCTAAGATTATCTAAAGTAAGTGAAAAGATTAAAACAAATCTATTAATGAAAGAAATAGCTTTCTCTGACCTACATTTTTGTATTCTGTTCTAGCTCACTGAAAATCTACCACCAGGGTTATTTTACTTTTATCTGCTAAATCTTGGTCTCACCCCAAAGAACTCCACAACTTTTATCTCTATTTATAGAACAGCATGTTTCCACATTACTCCTTAAAAGATTAGAAAACTGGAGGTTATAAATTGGGGTGTTCAACATCTTCTTTCCAAGTCTATTAGTTTCATAATTTATATCAAAGGGTATTCTGCATGAAAACAGAAAAAAAAAAGTATTTCATGAACAAAATGACAGTATTATAAATTAGATTCCTAAAACTGCAGTTTTCTTCAGGCTCAATGGTCTTTTAAGGCAATGATGCCTCCCTAAGGAATGCCTATGTTTATGAGCCCCTGACATGTTTTTGAAGGGGAAATGCCTCTTTTAGTATGGTGGAAATATTACCAGCCTAGATTAGAAGCAGCCTTCAGCCAGTTCTAAGTAGTTTCTTCACTTCCCCTTATTCTTCTGTTGAAGGACGGTGCCATTCTGGGAGATACGTGTGGTTGCATGTATTATTGATGCTCTGCTGTCAGTGACTCTAAGAATTTCAAAATTCTTATTCATAATTTCTCCTTTACAGATGCATATTGCAACTTTTTATTTTTATTTCTTTATTTATTGCCAGAGGGCATGTGCCCTCGCCCGAGACAGAGTGAGCAAGAGAGAAAGCACTCTTCATGAGGTGTGGTTAAACCACGATCCCTTCACCTCCATTTCTCCATTCTTTTGAAGCTTGGGGCATGTATGCACATGAACCTGTTGTGTTTTTCAAGGAGCTGAGACCAGGATTTGAACTGCAACCCGACATATGAGATTGGCTCAAGGTGATCACCAGGCTATGAGGCTGACCTTGAAAATTATTTAAATATACATTTATTTTGAACAGGTAAATTGTTTATTTAAATAATAATTATTTGTGTAGGCAGAAAATCAGAAATACTTAGTTTCTTATTTATTTCACCCTAGCATAAGCTGAATTTAAATTCTGTTTTAGAATTTTCAATGTACATTATATAATCATATCTAAATCTGATATTTTATATATATAAATATTTGTATTATTATTATTTAGATTTTACTAGCGGGTATGTGAACTCACTAGAGAGAGGCAGAGAGAGAGAAAGAGAGAAGGAAATTGAAAAATCACCTCTGAGAGCATAGTCATAATTCCTTTTCCTCCATTCCTTTCAAGATTTTTGGGCACACACAGATGTGTCTGGTGTTGATTCTCAAGGTACTGGGTCCAGGACTCAGCCGCAAACCTAGTCATGTGGGATCAAGCCACCTTAACCTCCACGCTACTTGCAAAATATTATAATACAAATTTTTATTGATTTGTATATTTTAATCCAAGAAAAATATTTTAATACATGAAAAATATTATAATACAATTTTTTATTTCTTTGTATTTTTTTGAATTGTGAGAAAATAAGGAAAATACTTTCTTCAATCTTTTAACCTAGTTTAACTGTCTCTTAACTAGAATGAGCCAAAAAAATATATATATATATATATGAGTTGCTGTAACTCTAGTGACACAATAATTTTTAAAAAATGAACTAATATTTGCAAAATCTAATTTTTATTATTATTATTTTGCAAGAGGGCATGCGTGCTTACCAGAAGAAGATAGAAAGAGAGAGGGAGAGGGTAAGCATGTACCCTGGAGAGGGATGACCACTAAAAAATCCCTTCTCCTCCATTTCTCCTTTTAGGACTTTGGGCACTAAAACACACATGCCAAGGGATACAGCCAGTCATGTGAGATCCAGTCACCATAACTACCAAACCATTGACTGACCCAGTAAATTAACTTTTAAATAAAATTTTAATTTTAAGTAGTCCTTTATATCATCTATATTGCCTGCTTGACCTAGGATGGCTTATGCTCTCAGATACAACCCTGTTATGAAGGTAATACAACAAAGACCAGTTCTGCAAATAAAAATGTTAAGAAGTTAAGAAAATTGTTCAAGAAGCCAGAAGGTGGTGCAGTGGTCAATGCCAACACTCCAGGTAGGGTCACCCACATGGGAAGGTTCCAAGTTCATATCTGTAGACCTCCCTGAGTTCACCAGGCACTTGTATGCCGATGATCTGGGCTGGCTGAAGTTGGGTTGGATTATGACTCAGAGACCCTGCTGGGGATGCTATTCGTCCGTCTTGCTCTCTTTCTGTCCCACTCCCTCATAAAAGACAAAAATTAAACTCATTAAACAAAAAAAAAAAAGAAAGAAAATTGCTCAAGGTCATACATTTTGAAAATGAAAACCTAGATGTGAAAGTTGTATTTCTAACTACTTTTCATTATTGCCCTAATTTTGATGATAAAAATTTAAATGCCTGTATGAATAGGTTCTTGCTGGCTTTAAAATATGTTTTTGTCACTGGAGATTATGGTTTCCACGGAAAGGCCAAGACAATTGTTTTGAATGAAAACAAAATGAGAAAAGTATGACCTTTTTTCACTTGCTTGGAATATTTTATTTGAGAAAAGTATGTTTTCGTGCTACAAGACAAATGCTACAAATGGAAGCATTTTTACATTTAGATTTTCTTATTCAGCACATTCTTTTGATATGCAGTAATTCCTGTTAGAGCACAATGGATGTTAATAATTGCATATGTAACAATCTGCTCAGATGTTTACATTAAATCCAAGGTAGTATAAAATAACAAAGATGTGATAATAACACATTCATATAAAAATTCTTAAAATAAACTATGCTAGTTATTTTATAAATGAAAAAGATTTCCTTATGAATTTAAGAAAAGGGGCATTGTTAGTCTCTGCCTACTATTTCTTTTTATTTATTTATTTATTTTTTGAGAGGCTTTTGCTATAGGGCACATGCGATCACCAGAAAGACAGAAAGAGACAGAGAGGCAGAAAGTGAGAAATCTCCCCCAAGGGAGTATGGCTATTCGGCAGTCCCTTCTCTATTCTCCTCTCGGGATCTTGGGTACACACACACACGTGCCCAGTGTGAGGGTCTGGGACTCCAACGGTGGCTAACTACGTGGGAGTCCAGTGACATAGCTATTACGTCTAATGCTGGTCTCCCCTACTAGTTCTTAAAGAATGTAAGTTTTCCAGTCTAAACTACATAGGGAAGTTCTGAACACTGCAGAACTAATGTACTAAATGACTACTAGTTTGTGTACATGTGTCTGTGTGCACTGTACATGGTGGTCTATGTACTACATTCTTTATCTTCAATGTTATTGCTAAGGTATGAGAAAAAAAGACTGTGGTTCTAGTCCTGGACCTGGTGACTTGCTTTCTCAGTTTCCCTCGCTCTCTTTCTCTCTCACTCTCATTCTCTCTCTGTGCCTCTCTGTTCAAATTAAAATAAATAAATGAATAAATAAATAAATAAATAAATAGTTAAAATAATTCTTAAAAGTGTTTTAAAAAATAATAGTAGGGACAGATTGGCAACAAATAACAAGAAAAACAAACTATGTTAGAAAAGTCAAAAGGTTCACAGGTGGCATGGATTTAAAGCGCTGAACTCCCACATGACCAACTTTGCAGTTCAAGTCCTGGACCCAGTGGCTTGAAAATTCATGCTGAGTGTGTGTGTGCATGCATGCCCTAAATCCCAAGAACAGAATGGAGAGGGTATTGTGATGTGACCCTCCCCCTTAGGGGGTGACTTCTCACTTTATCCCTCTCTCCGTGCCTCTCTCCAGTGGGCACATGCACCCTACAGGAAAAAAAAAAAAAAATTAAAAGAAAATTATAGAAAAGTCAAAGGGGATAAATGAAAAGAAATATCAATACATGAGTAACAGCTCTCTATTCAGAAATATCCCCTTGGTTAAGCTGAACACTTACATTAAAACTTTATTTTCTAAGGAAACAGCACGATTTCCTCTTTTGTATAGTCAGTGCTTATTGACGTAAAACATGTGCCAGGTTCTATGTTGGATGTTGAAGAGAAAAAGCTGAATCAAGTATGACACCCTCCTTCAGGGAGCCCACAATAAAATGAGAGGCAGGTGTGAACAAATTATGGTAAATAAAATATGGTGAGTAGAGGTGTAAAGCAAGTACTGAGTGAAGATAATCACTGAAAGATTCAGTAAAGAATAAAAATGTGAGAGGACTTTCGAATGTGAATAAGGGTTTTTATGTGGATGAGGGAAGACGGTAGTTTCCAGGTAAAGAAAACCCCACCAACTGAAGGAAATAGGAGGAAACAGGTAAGAGGTAATGAGGACATTTCACGAAGAGGAGCATATTGTCCTTAAAGAGTGTAGGATGGAAAGAGAATACTAAAAGTAGACCAGGAGCAGAATCGCACTGGGAAATGCTTTGAGTGTGGGCTTTTTTTAGGTGATAAAAGGTCAATAGCGGATTTAAAAATGAAAGCAGTATTACCAGATTTGCTTAATTAGGATGATACCCTTGGAGGCGCAGCAAATTCCCTGCTTTTCTACTTCCCTGCAAAAATTACTTTTTAGCTCACACTACATTTTGTTTGACAGACAGCTGGCTCAACTGTACCACTTCCAAAAGCAGAAGTAGGAGAATGAATGAGTTCGTGCAGGGTAATGGCCGGAGCTAATGATATGGACAGAGGACTCAGTCTTCACTATTTCTACATCTCTAACTTCCACATTACTTCCATAATCATAGAAGTTATGGACACCCAAACTCCAATTTTCTTCTCTACCTTTAAATTACCTCAGTGTCTTGAGTAACTTCAATTTCATCATGAATGACTGAGATAGTAACAGAGCCTGACCTCAAGCCTTTGAAGACCTTCATCCACATTCTTTGCCAGAACTTCTATACCATAATAGATACTGTCAGCTTAGAAATCTGTATCCCAGAAGCCTTCTCTCAGATCAACCTTTTATATGGCATTTTCTTCTCCTCCTTAAGGAACAATCTCACCATTCCCACTGATTACTGTCACTTTGATATTTTCAACATCATCCTCCTCAAGATGATTAGATTCATCGTGGTATGGTTATTTAAATTACAATTAAAATGTAATAAGAAATATTTTGTAATAGAAAATGGTATAAAATTCAGTGCGGACTTGAGGAAAGAAGACCTAAATGGGTCCAGCCAGTGATGTGGTGGTTAAGACGGCTGGCTCCCACGTGGCTGACTCCACGGTTTGAGTTCAGGAACCAGCTGCTTGGAAAACATGCTAGGAGCATATACATGCATGTCCCAAAGTCTCAAGAGGAGAATAAAGGAAAAGGGATTACAAAGTCTTGCTTTTACTACTAAAATGCTAAACATGTAATTTAAAAAAATAAATAAAAACAAACAAACAAACAAACAAAAAAACTCCTTTGAGTTTTGTTCTATGACCTGGTACTTAAGTTATCCAGATCCTACATGGAAGGTTGCATGGTTCTTTTTTTTTTTTTTTTTTTCCTGAGAGGTTTTTGCTATAGGGCGCGTGCACTCGCCAGACAGACAGAGAGAGACATAGAGACAGAAAGCGAGAAATCACCCCCCAGGGGGGATGGGCACGCCGCAATCCCTTGTACTCCATTCTCCTCTTGGGATCTTGGGCACGCATGCACATGCGCCCGGCGTGAGTTTTAAGCCACTGGGTCCGGGACGTGAACCACGGTCGACTACGTGGGAGTCCAGCGACATAGCCATTATGCTAAATGCTGGTTCCCTAGTCTGCATGGTTCAAGCCCTGGATCTAGTGGCTTGAGAATCACACTGGACACCTATGTATGTGTGACCAAAATTCTGAAAGGAAACACAGATGGAGGAGAAGGGAAGTTGTATGACAATTCCCAGTAGCGGGCATTTTCTCTCTTCTCTCTCTCTCTCTCTCTCTCTCTCTCTGACAAGCACAGTGACCTTCTAGCACACATACGCACACACCTATTTTGAATTTTAAACTGTCAGATTAAAAGAAATAAAATGGTCTTTGGAGTTTGGCTCTCATTCTATGTAGAAAACCAAATAGAAATTACTAGAAAACCAAGAACTCCTGAAATCTGAAGGTGCTATGTGCTTTGCTAATGTGATTATTTCCCTTTCTTCTTCAACAGCCTCTTTCCATCCTGGCAGTCATAACTTACATGCCATTTCCATGTGAGTCTTCTCTTGTTGTCATCCCTATAAGAAACATTGCTCCATTTCTATCAGGAGATTCAGTGTATGTTTACACCGACATTCAAGAATGTGGATCCAGTTAACACGCTAATATTTTCCACTTCTTTCTACTTTTTTAATTTGATATTAATTCATTTCATGTTTAGGCCCTTAACATTAGAGACATAAGTTTTTCCCTAATAGCTCTCATACTATAAAGACGTTATAGTATACTTTAAAACCATTCCTTTTAGACATGTAGTCAATATAAACAAAACAAATTTGGATCCTAGATAGTGAAACTATAAGAATGGGTCCAGCCTCAGGGCCAGCCTGTGGCTGGTGGTCAAGGTTGCTGAATTCCACATGGCCAATCATGCAGTTCGAGTCCTAAACAGGTTGCTTGGAAAACATGCTGGGCACATGTGGGTGAGTGCCCGGAATCCAGAAAGGAGGAGAAAATAGAGAAGAAGGAATTGAAATGTGACCATTTTCCATGGTAGCGGGGGGAGCTTTTCCTCTTTTCCACTCTCTCTTTCTTTGTCTTTGTTTCTCTCTGGTAAGCACACAGGCCCTATGATACCCTACGGCAAAATAATAAATAAATAGCAAAAGTAAATATTAGTACATGTAACGTGGCCGTACTGAGCAACAACAACAAATGAAATGGGGGAGAAAACAAAACTAGTCCAACTGCCTTTGGGCATCAAGCTTTGTTATCTCATTTTTTTGAATGATAAAACTAATACTGACTTGTATGTGACCACAAGGCTAGTGACAGAAGGGAGACCATATTCTGACTGCAGCACACAAACTAAGTGATGGATTGGGAACTCTTACCATGGTTTGATCAGTTTAATTAGTTCAATTGACTAATCGATATCATTAGTGTAACATTAAATAATGACACAATCCCCAAATCTCAGTGACATAATAGTACACAAGTTTATTTTTCAATCATGCAATAGTCTGATGCAGTTAATTGTCTCTCTGGACAATGAGTTTTCCACTCAGCAAGAACTCAAGGGTCCTGGTGTTTTCCTTGTTGTAGATCCACTGTACAACAGAAGCCTCTACAGAATCTTCCACTGGATCTAGCTGGTCCAGTGAAAAAGGCGACTTCTTTTTTTTTTTTTTTTTGAGGTTTTTGCTATAGGGCGCATGTGCTCGCCAGAAAGACAAGAGAGAGACAGAGAGACAGAAAGTGAGAAATCACCACCCGGGGGGGATGGCCATGCCACAATCCCTTCTAGTCCATTCTCCTCTCAGGATCTTGGCCATGCACGCATACACGCCCAGCATGAGTTTAAGCCACCAGGTCCAGGACTCAAACCATGGTCGACTACATAGAGTCCTGAGACATAGCCATTACACCAACTACTGATCCTCCTTATGTAGCACATTTAATCACCAAGGCTAGACATGATATGAGTCACCTCTCCTTACATCTTTTTACCCTGAATCTAACTTACCAGTTGACCAAGAAGCACTGTGGTCTGCTAGAAGAGAAGACACGATAGAGGGAATCTTGACAGTCACCTGCTAAAAGATTTTCTTTGGGAACCAGCAGTTAGCGTAATGGCTATGTCACTGAACTCCCATGTAGTCTACCGTGGTTCACGTCCCGGACCCGGTGGCTTAAAACTCATGCCGGGTGCATGTGCGTGCGTGCCCAAGATCCCAAGAGGAGAATGGAGGAGAAGGGATTGCGGTGTGACCATTCCCCGGGGATGATTTTTCACTTTCTGTCTCTCTGTCTCTCTCTGTCTTTCTGGCGAGTGCACGCACCCTACACCAACTACTGATCCTCCTTATGTAGCACATTTAATCACCAAGGCTAGACATGATATGAGTCACCTCTCCTTACATCTTTTTACCCTGAATCTAACTTACCAGTTGACCAAGAAGCACTGTGGTCTGCTAGAAGAGAAGACACGATAGAGGGAATCTTGACAGTCACCTGCTAAAAGATTTTCTTTGGGAACCAGCAGTTAGCGTAATGGCTATGTCACTGAACTCCCATGTAGTCTACCGTGGTTCACGTCCCGGACCCGGTGGCTTAAAACTCATGCCGGGTGCATGTGCGTGCGTGCCCAAGATCCCAAGAGGAGAATGGAGGAGAAGGGATTGCGGTGTGACCATTCCCCCGGGGATGATTTTTCACTTTCTGTCTCTCTGTCTCTCTCTGTCTATCTGGTGAGTGCACGCGCCCTATAGCGAAAACCTCTCAAAAAAAAAAAAAGATTTTCCTAATTGACGGTTGACATAAATGTAAAAGTCCATAATTTTTTTTAAAGGAAACACTTTCAATGCACTGTAGTTTCTTGAACGCTTACAAGAAAGACGTGTTTTTTACATTATACTTGAAAAAGTAATTTGTTTTTACTATAAAAAAGGATTTTTTAGCTATCAAAACAAAGGTGTTATTACAACTGTCTATAGTAACTTATTATTTCAAAATCTAGAATGTAGTATGTTTTAAGGCCAAAATAATAAATGATAGATCATTGCTTCACTAGCTTTCAGCTCTGACAAGGTGTGAGATTTCAAGTTTTTTGTTTCTTAATGACTGTAATTAACATATTAATATTTCTTGAATATAAGATCTGAAGGGTTTTTTTTTCCTTCTTTTGTAGGAAGGCTTCAGTTGGGAAGTCTTTGAAAGAGAACTTTTATCTTGGACTCTTCTCAGCCAATGTGTCCTGCCTTTACGTCTGATTGTTTTTCTTTCTCATTAAGGCAAAACAAAATAGAACAGTTACTGGTGTTTCTGAGATGTGCAAGATCCTTAACTGATTAAATTGTTAGAGTTTCTTTTTTTGTTTGTAACCACCAGGAGTGAGACTCCAATGGGGCAGCCTGCCACATTGTATCCTGTTCCCTAAGCTACTAGGTAAAAGGCCAATTAGGATTTTAGTTTTTAAGGAATGAATTTGTTTCACTGTTATGCCTGGTATTCTAAATTGAATTAAAACTTAATCATAGTTATGTGATTTTTAAGATTTACTTAAATGTATTACTATCAAGTTTGTCATTTGCATGGCCAAGATCGTTAGCACTGGTGTTGGTTTTCCCAGTATCATACATGAAATGCTTGAGTAATATTTTCTAATGGATAGTGAGAGTTGATTTCACATTTGAGGTATTTTATACTGCGACAGGCTTTTAATCCCATAAGCTGCTCAGTACTGCTCTTAGAAAAGACAAATACAAATGCCTTTGAATATGGCTTGTCAGAGCAGAACGAACCCAGTCTTCTGTGACCTCAGTTCTTCAGTAGCTTTCTGTTGCAGGTGAGGGCTGATCACCTTTCTATTATGATTCATTTAGAGGCTGAGACTCAGTGAAACCTTCCAGAATGGGAGAATTTGGACATCTGACTGTGTAAACCTTTGATGATCTTTCTTATATAATATATCCTAGCACAGTTGTTCAGATAAGCCCCTTACAATTGTGTGTGTGTGTGTGTGTGTGTGTGTGTTTTAGGACCTT